AAATACTCCATAAGGTTATCAAGGCTGTGACCTTTTGGAAGCAAATCACCAAGCCTTACTTCCAAGGAAATCTCTGGTGGGTACATTTGAACCACTAACCCTTCAGTTAGCAGACCAGTGCTTAACCATTTACCCACTGTGGTAGTTAAGCTTGTATGTCAACTTGGGGTGGGGAACTGTGGGTCTGAGTGGCTGGGCAGCTGGATGAAGTTATTCCCCATGATGAGACTGGATGTGGTGAAATCAACTTCATGGGGAATCTGCTGTGAGGCATTAATCAGTGGAAGGAGTACCTTCGGGATGTGGCCTGCTCCCAGTATATATGGAGAAACTTTGGGCAAAGTCTCTAGCTTTTGGCACATTTGGCCGAGTCTCCATCATCAGTTCCTGGATTTGAACTAATGGCCTGCCATGTTATCTGCTAATCTTGGTATTGTGCCATTTCACTTGTCAATTTTGGGTTCATCAGCCTCAGCAGGTGCATGAGTCAGATAAAGCCTCCAGCTCTAGTGGCCTAGAACAGGAGGCAGAGCTGAAGCCCAAGGTCGAGGGGCCTTTACCCAGCCCCTAGAGCCAGCAGGCGCTTTGAACTTGGACTTCCAGCCTCCTAAACTGAGAAGAAATCCCTTTTTGTTAAGCCATCCACTTGTGGAATTTGTTGTAGCAGCGCACGACAACCCAGACACATACTCCTACTGTTGGTTGTTTTAAACCCTAGTTGAAAATTCAATTTGACCAGTCTTGCCTAACCTAGAAGGAGCCCTGGTGTCATAGTGGTTAAGCACTCGGCTGCTAACCAAAAAGTCGGTGGTTCAAACCCACCAGCTGCTCTGTGGGAGAAAGGTGTAGCAGTCTTCTTCTGTAAAGATGATAGTCTGGAAGCCTTATGGGACAGTTCTACTCTGTCCTATAAGGTTGCTATGAGTTGGAATTGCTATGAGTTTTTTGGTTTTAATCTAAACTAGGATCCATTACAGGGGCTCTGGTGGTGCAGTGCCTAAGGCATTTGACTGCTAACCAGAAGGTTAGTGGTTCAAACCCACTAGCCACTCCACATGAAAGAGGAAGGAGTAAGGTACTTCTGTAAAGATTCACAGCCTCTAGTTGATAGTTTTTGAAGCTAGATTATGGACAGATGGGGGTTCATAGTACTAGTCTTTATTCCTGTTTGAAATGTTGTATAGTACATTTTTGAAATTAAAAAAAAAAAAAAAAATTTCAGCCTCGGTGACCTAGCAGGGGCCATATGAGTCAGACTTGACTAGATGGCAGAGAGTTTGTTTTTTCAGTTTAGGACCTATTACAAGGCAAACCAAAGAAGAAAAATTAGGCAAAGCCATCTTGGTGGCTGGGCCTGCAGCTGTTAAGTTAGAAACAGACAGTGGTGGTACTCATGCTTGGCCTGGGACAGGCTCCTGGTGTTCAGGACAGGAAGCCCATGATCTGAGTGACACTGGACCAGAATGGGGAGGGGGACCCTCTCTGATTTCATGGCGCCTTCCTGGTTTTTTTTTTTTTTAAGAGTTTGTTTTACATTCAATGTTACAAGTACATTTAGTTTCACTCTCCATTTACTTTCCCCAACCCTCAGTCTCCTCTCCTCCCTGCCCAGTAACCCTCCCCCTGTGCCCCTCATAGTTATACACTCCTGTTTGTCCTGCATTTCCTCTGTGTGAATGTTGACCTTCTGGTGCCCTGTGGTCTATTGCTCTAAGGGATATATTACCATAGAGCATGTGGGTGCGACACCCTGGATTGAGTGGTCTGCATGTACATCTTGTTAACTATTGGGCTGAGAGCCCACCCCTGGGGGTGTTTTATTCCAGGTGCAGAATGTATTCCAGGGCCATAGTATTGGGGTTCTCACAGACTCCATCTGACCAGTAATTCTGGTCGTTATTGAGTTTTTGGATTTTGTTCCATGTTTTTCCTCCCACTCTATCAGGATCTCCAGATTTGATCCTTTCCTCAGTGGTTGGCATTGGTAGCTGGGCCCCATCTAGTTCTGGTCTCAAGGGCCATCATGTCCTAGGGCTGATTGCTTCCAAATGCCCTTTTTTTTACCCCCTCACTCTTCCTCGCTTCTGATGCTAGGAGACCATTAGGTGCATCTTGCTTAGATGGCTGCTTGAAAGCCTTTAAGATCCCAGTCGCTGTTCACCAATGTAGGATGCAGAACAAGGCTTTTATGTATTTTGATGCTCCAATTGAGTCTGGTGTCCCCCAGTACTATGGTCCCGAGAGAGTATATTCATTGGATCTCTCTCCCAGTGTCTGGGTGTCTGTGAGGGATTGCTCTGTGTCTGTCTTTTACTGTTTCTGTAAGGATTGCAAGTATTTTGTATCGCTGGTGTCTGTGCAAGATTAGCCTGTGCTGAATCTATCCTTGGTCCAGAGTATACTCCTGTTCACTGGCCACCTTCCTGGGTTCTGATACTAGCTACTCCTGCCTTTCACAGGCTCAATGGCCCCTCCAGTAGTGTTCCTCCTCACACAGGTGTTCCTAGCCACCTGCACAGCGTCTGTTTCTCCTTTGTAGAGCCTGAATAAACCTCATTTTAGAGCTGACCTACTCCCCAGCCCCATCAAGCCCCTATCCAGCCCCCTTTTCTTTAGTTTCTCTCATGTGACATGGCCTGACATGGTAGCAATTTACTGTGTCACTTAGATTACAGATTAAAAGTGGGGCTGGCTAAATTCAGTTTGGGTAATAGACACCATTAGGTATGGATTAAATTTAGACAGCATGCTTGAGTTTTAAGTGCCAAGGTAAGTAATGAAGTAATGTTAGAAAGGAGAGGAATTAGCAGTTTCTGTGAAAGTAGATTCTGAGACGTCTTTCTTTTTATTTGGGAAAAAAAAGCTTCTGCTAAAAATAATTAAAATGTGCTTGTGCTAACCTTGTTGAATTCCCAGATGAAAGAAAGGGAATGAACTGCTCCCATCTGGTGGCCTCAGATCCTGCCCTCTCTGACCCTGTAATATTCCATTTGCATCACTCTATTTTTAGACTGTAGTTGGACCTGACCAATAAACTTCTGCCTGGGTGTTATGGTAACCAAAGGGGGGCAGACGTGGCACTGGGATTCTCCAGGTGGCAGCTCTGGACAGCCCTGAGGGACACACCTTCCCTCACTCTACTTCCTGATGTCTCTGGCCTTCCCTAAATGCCAGGAGTGACAGTGGAAGTCTACTGACCAAGGCAGGGTTTGGTCCACCTCTGTCATTTTACAGGTGTCATCCTTTGGGCAATTCTGCATGGGATCCCCTTGCAGCAGGTTCCTTGGGGAAGTAGGGCCATGTCCTTATGGAGTTGAATGCAGTTGAGCTGTCTGACCAAAGCTGCTGAGTGAATGTGCTTCTGAGGTCCAGCCAGCTCCTCCTGGTCGCCTAGACAGCTCCTTTCCAAGTATGAACAGGAATGGCTGAGGATGACAGACAGCTAACCCCTGGATCTCAGGATCTCTGCCTGCCCAGCTGGTTCAGGAAAAGAAAAGGACCCAACTATGGGGAAGGCTGTGGCCCTATCCAGCATATAGTTCTACTCTGCACACAGGGGGCCACCGTGAGTCTGAATTCACAACAACAACATAGGCAGGTGTTAGATAGCTACAAACACAGCCCACATGAGCTTGGCTTGGGCTGTAAGCAAAGGCTCCCAACACCATATGCCCCGCCGGTGCCCATCAAACAGGATATTAAAGTGCTTTATTGTGAGGAGCCCAGAGTGCTTGAGGGCAGCTATCTTGGGACTGGGACTGCAGTCCTCTGCCTTCTGAAGCCTTTTGCCAACAGGGGCAGTTGGGACCTCAACATTTCAACTCTACAGAAGGGGAGGAAGAATGATTGGGGGCTGAGGAGAGGCACCAGGTATGTTGGGTGAGCTGATGATGTGCACCCAGTGACCTGTTGGGAACTGGAAATGGGCCTGGTGGGAGCACTTACGTCACAGATCGCCAAATGTTAAAAACTAAGACTCATTTTTTTCCCCAGAGGGTTGGTCTACCAGCACATCATTCTGAGCCCACCCCACAAGCCTGGCTGCTGAGACAAGCTTCTACTCCCTAACTTGGGGACAGTGCCGGCCCCTACATTCTGACAACCTGGGCAAAACAGGAGGGCTGGGCAAAGGAAAGGGACTAGAATTAGTTGACCCCTTGTCTGTCTGGAGCCTGCCTCGTCCCAATTACCTTGGTCTGCCTGCCCCCAGCCACAAGTGGTGTCCACCAAAAAGGCAGCTAGGAGCTCAGGCTCCCCTCCTGTGTGCTACACAGCACCACTGGCCCTCAATCCTGGGCGGGCTCCTGGGGGAGAGGCAAAAGGGCAAGTGAGGCATGAGCACCCCAGAGTCACGGAGGGAGTTGTTACCGGGTGTTAGCCTGGCCAATGGCAGCTGTGGGCCGGATGAAAGACTGGCCCTTTTATTGTCCCCCACATGCCCTTCCTCAGTGATGGCCAGGGGTAGAGTTAGTGATTACCAGCCGGTCCCATGAGGTCCTAGAGAGCCTGGCTCGCCCCTGGGGGCAGAGCCAGGGCGAAGAGGGAGCAGGAGGAAGTCAGCCAAGCAGCCAGCCTGGGCCAGTTCCTCCCAGTGGATAGGAGAGGGAGACCCACGCACGGACACACGTGCACCTCCCGGGACCTCAGGCCTGAACGCCCTTCAGCCCCGCCGCAACACCCGAGGCACCCTCGGGCTCATGGGCCAAAGGTATGCTTCTGCAGAGCTTCTGAAATCTGCATGAAAATCTTCGGGGATCTTGTTAAACTGTAGATTCTGCTCCAGTATATCTGGGGGTAGAAATGCCAATTATCAACGGGGTGGAACTGGAGTAAACCGGTTCAAAGCCCTGAGCTGCAGAGAGACCTCAGGCATCGAGAAGTCGCGAACTCACCCAGTCTGCACGGGTCGGGGCAGGGCACCTACAAGGAAAGTTCTCCAACCCAGCAGTCACTGCCCAGTCTCCCTGCAGTTCCTGCCAGCTGCTGCCCCTGGCCCCTTGTTAGTACTCCTTGGCCTCCTGCAACTGAGCCAGGTACTCCTCTTCAGGGGGGTTGTCAGCACAGGCCCGGCCGTTGTTGGGGGGCCGCACGGCATGGTAGCGGCTCCAATCCCCCTTACACAGGATCCAGGGCAGCGTGTCCACCTTGAAGTGCAGCTCAGGGGAGAAGTCGGTGCTGACGAGGTCGGGGGTGCCGGCGCCCTTGCCGCGGGTCAGCAGCCGGCTGCCCTTGTCATAGCAGCAGTGCTGGGCGGCCAGCGTGCTGCTCTCCCCCGACAACAGGGAGCGCAGGCAGAAGCGTGCCATGGGCTGGTACACGTCCAGGCGCTCGCGCGGCCCACTGGCATCCCTCCACCGGAAGCTGCGGCCCTGGTGCTCGTCCTGCAGGCTCACTGCGCTGGACACGGCCTCCAGTGGGTATGCACATGGACAGCTGGGCAGGTCCCGCAGCACCAGGCTCAGATACTTGGCTAGGAAGTCACTCTTGCAGTTCAGCCACTTCTCGCAACTGTCCACATCTGCAGAGGGCAGGGAAGGGGGATGGAAGGGAGCCGGTCAGTCCCTTGGTGAAGGGGAGAGTGGGGGCCGAGCCAGGGGCAATGCTCAGAGAGAGAAGACCCAGGTTCCACCTGGTGCAAAAGTATGGCTCCGTAAAGCCTTGAGGGCAGGAAGACCCACATCAGGGGGGACAGTCTGGCAGGCTCCGCTGCTGGCAGATACAGACTACCATACCACCCACACAGCAAGAAGCCACGGCTCACATGGGACTCTGGTCAAGGGGCAGGCCCTGGAGGCCCTCTGCTGTGCCAAATGGTACCTCTTTTAATTATCGTGGTAAAAATGTATATAACAAAACATTGGCCAGTTCAACAATTTTCACATGTACAATTCAGTGACTGATAGTTTCATCACATTGAACAACCATCACCACTATCCTTTTCCGAATTATTCCACCACTATTAGAAGTTTCAGGGTACTCATTAAGTTTTCCAATATTACATCAGACAATGTTTTACTGTTATTCGTAAGGTTTTCACTGGCTAATTCTTTGAGAAGTGGATGACTCCTTTCTTATTCCCAGTTAACGGAACCTCAGTGCCCCCTAGGCAATGACTCTCCCCTCCCGTCGCTCCCTCCTACCTGAATGCGGGATGGTGGTGAAGATCCTGGGACCTTGAAGGAGCCAGGGTGGCTGGGGAGCAGCAGTTATTAACCAACTGATATTGAAGTGTCATGGTATTTTAACCACTGGTCCACTCTTCTTCTCTCTCACGCCCTATGACCTTGGGCGAGTCACTCTGCCCTCTGTGGCTCTCCCTGTCCACACTGCCTGCTCCCTACGGTGGGGAATGTGGCCTCAGACTCTGACCACACAGAACAAATTGCTCTTTTCTTTTTGCTCCCAGACCTGTTAGACATCTCAGTGCTCAAATGGGTCCTGTGTGTTTCTCCCCATGAGACCTGCACTCCATGACGGCGGAGACCAGACCTTGGTCTTCTGGGAATCCCCAGCCCCAGCAGTGCCAAGGCCTGTACAGGCTCAATAAGCCTCTTCTGTGTTGGGCATGGGCCTCACCTGCAAGGTGAGCTACCGGCAGCTGCATGCCTTCCTCTCAAAGTGTGGATGAGACCAAGACACAATAACTTGAGAGTGTGCTGGTGAAAGCCTGGCATGTGCCAAGCTGCCTGGAAGCAGTAGTACTGGAGTTCAGTATCCTGATCTGCTTCTCACAGACATCACTGCCTCTCCCTCCCCAGACAGAGCCTGGCCAGGAACCTCCAGTGACTAGGGAATGGAAGGCAGAATGTTCCCAGCCACTAGATGACCTTCAAGCTCTGTGGCTCCCATCATAGGCCCAAGACCTTCTTCTCAGCAGGAGTTTCAGGCTGGGAAAAGCCAACAGGCCTGGCTAGAAAGCCCAAAGAAACTAGAGGTCTCTTGATGGGAGGCATGGCTTCCAGCTGGAAAAAGTACTCCCTATCTTGAGTGGATGGAGGTAGGGTCCTCCCTGTGCAATAAAGCTCCACCCTCCACCCAGTCAGCACCTAGCCCCCTAGCTTACCTGGGCTAAGCACGTCCGTAGCATTGTGGACCAGGGGCTGCCACCCCTCACTGGGAAAGCCCAATGTGTCCTCATCCTCAGCACCTTTGGGAAAAGAGGAGGCCAGGTTGGTAGGACCCCAGGGGCACCTCTGTGCTCCGGATGGGGAAACCCAGCCTTCACAAGGCTCTTGGTGCCCGTAGCGTCTGGGACAAGGCAGGGCCACCACACTGGTGAGCTTCCTGCATCCCCTCTCCCAAGCCCACCCCTTGGGCACAAGCCTCGGATGCCCAGTTCCCAGTGGACCAAGACAAGACTCTCAGCCAAACCAGCCACTCCCTATGTAGAGGCTAGGGCTCATCTCACCAGGACAGGGAAGCAGGTCGCAGGCCCGGGACTCGGTAGCAGTGCAGGCATAGCCACAGGGCCGCGTCCTCCGCTGGCTGCCACTGCCGCAGCTCCCAGTGCAAGGAGACCAGGGGCTCCACTCCTCTTGAGGCTCAAAGTCTGGGTTGAAGCAGGGAGCTGGGGGTGAGTGAGAACAGCCCACGGGAGCACATGTGCAAATTCAGAGGTGACACCCCATCATCAGGAGGATGCAACTGTGCCATGGTGCCTAGCCTACACAAACGTACAAGGTGGCCCTACAGAAAGGGTACAACCCCAGTCACCAGCTCTGTGCCAACACAGCAATGAAGACGAACAGGGATCTGGGGCTAGAAGCCAGCAGGGCCCAGATGTGGCCTGACCACTGTTGGTGTGACTTTGGGCAAGTCCTCCACCTCTCTGAGCAATAATTTTTGATGTCAATCAAAACTAAGGCTGGCGCTGAATGATCAGATCTGTCTAGGCAAAAAGGAATATACTCATGACCATATATAAGGCTGGCAGCTGCTATTTCTACATACATATTTGCATGTGCTGTAAAAATGTCCATCTAAATAGAACTAACAGGGCAAAGTTTTTTTTTTTTTTTAAAAAAAAAAACAGCTAAGGCTGGTAATCCTTCCCTGGTACTTAACGTGTTAAGGGAAGACCTTGCTGCCCAAGTGAGGGACCCGCCTCAGTCTGGGGGACCAGACATCTGCCGTGATCTGGCTGTGCAGAGCCTAAGACAGGTGCTCACTGTCTTATACCCCCCAGAAATACCACCACAGCCACAGCCTGGCAGCCAGAGCAGGCCAGCACCAAGAGTGTAAGGAGCACTGATGGGCAAAAAGCTTAGAGTTGGGACAATTGTGTTACCTGACATATTTTTTAGTGATGGGAAAAGCCCCCCACGAGTGGCACTTCAGTCCAATAAGGTGGCTCCAGAGCAAAGGGCTGCAACTGTGCATGAAAAAGGTCTACACCCAGAGAAAACGTGAGCCACAGCGTGCAGAAATAAAAGCCGTCATCACCAGGACTGGTAGCTTTGGGCAATATTCTGTTCTGAACAGTCTGTGCTGTTAGGTTGTTTTCTAATAAAAATAAGAAAAAATAGGCACTACTTATAGACTGTATTTACTATATGTCAGCACTTGACATGTAATAATTCATTTAATACTCCCTTCAGCCTTATGAGGGGGCTCTGGTAGCGTAGTGCCTAAGGCACTTGACTGCTAACCAGAAGGCTGGCAGTTCAAACCCACCAGCCACTCCTTGGAAGGAAGGTTGGCGATCTACTTCCGTAGTGATACTGCCTCGGAAACCCAAGGAGGGGTCACTATGAGTTGGGTCCGACTCGATGGCACATAACAACACAACAACAAAACCCTTATGAAGTAAGGATCAAGCCATTCCCCATTTTATAGAGGAAGGAACTGAAGCACAGAGAGGGTAAGTAACTTGCCCAAGGTCACTCAGCTAGTAAGCGACAAAGCCAGGATTCAAATCCAGAGTCTGGAAATAAGGACAGTTATGAGTGGTAGGATTAATATTTCTCAACTTGTTGGAAACTAATAGATATGAATATATATAATATTAAGTGTCTGCTTTGCCTAGGGGATCTCAGGCCTGTGGTGAGAGTAAATGCTGTTTAAAAGAAACAAAAACAAAAAATTTTACTTGCTATTGGTACTGTTAGGAGCTCTGGTAGCATAGTGGCTAAGACACTTGCCTGCTAACCAGAGGGCTGGCGGTTCAAACCCACCAGCCACTCCTCGGAAGGAAGGTTGGGCAATCCTACTTCCGTAGTGATACTGCCTCGGAAACCCAAGGAGGGGTCGCTATGAGTCGGGGCCGACTCGACGGCACATAACAACAACAACAACATTGGTACTGTTAGGAGCTCTGGTGGGTAAAGCATTTGGCTGCTAACCAGATGGTTGGCAGTTCAAGTCCACCAGCTGCTCCATGGGAGGAAGATGAGGCAATCTATTTCCATAAAGATTTATAGCCTTGGAAACTCAATGGGGGTTGCTATGAGTGGAATTCGACTCGCTGGCAGTGGGTATTGGTATTGCTACTATTTTGATGATGATGTTTACACAGGGCCTGAGCTCTTCACTTTCCCAGCTATCCCTGCCCGGAAACCCTCAGCCCTCTCTCCCATCCCCATTTCCATTCAAGGTCTCAGGGGGCAACTGCCTGGAGATGGTAAGATGGGAAGGCTCACCATGGCTATCTGTCTCCTTGAAGGCCCAGTCTCCGGGGGCCAGCCAGCCCTGGTCCCAGCTGCCCGCAGCCCCACTGAACCCAGGCTCCTCCTCGTCCTCCTCCTCCTCTTCCTCATCGGTGTCCTGGTCCTCACCCTCGCTGTACTCTTCAGGGTGATTCTCCTCCACTCCTTCCTCCTCCTCTGGGGCTCGACCTTCAAGATGGGTGCCCCCCTCCTCGCCCTCCAGGTAGCCCCAGAAGAGGGGCCAGAAGAGTTCCTTGGCGGGCAACCAGCTGGGGGTGCCCTGGGGCCAACGGTTGCTGGGCTCTGCCAGCAAGTCCATCTCCACCTCGGCCTGCGGGTCCTCCACCACCTCGATGGTCACCTGCAGGAGGACAGATGGCAGGCTGGCTAGTGAGGGAGGGCTCAGAGCCACACTCCAGAGAAGGGAGAACAGAGACGGCAGCAGAGGCAAGAGCTTGAGCCCTCGCCTCCAAATCAGCTTCTTCTCTTGGTTCATCTCCGTGACCTTGGGTAACAGCTTAAGGCTTGACTGTGCGTTAGAAGGTGCTTTTTAAAACAACCCTGACTCCCACATCCTGCCCCAGATGTGGATTTAACTGGTAGGGCTGGGCACAGTGGTTCTAACATGCAGCCAGGGTTCAGAGACACATGGGGGTGGAAAGCTGGCTTGGAGTTCTGGCTCCACCAGCAGGCAGGCTGGCAGCCTCAGGGGCCACGAAGCAGCTCCTTGCCGCCATTTCCTCATCTGTGGAGCGGGAAAATGAGAGCTACTAGATGTCAAAACGCCACAGCAGCCCTTGAGAGGGGCTCTCTCACCCTATTTATGGACAGGGAATAAATAAATCATTTATGTGAAGGTCAACTTTATACAAATGATTTTGGGCTGTTATAAAGTAATAAGAGGTCATTATACAAAATTTTGGGAAAAATCACTTATAATTCCATCACTGACAGAACATTTTGGTGCTTAATCTTCCAGTTTGTATACACACACACTTACACACACATATGTTCACTTATTTATATGTATATATGGAAGCTCTGGTGGCATAGTGCCTAAGGCACTTGACTGCTAACCAGAAGGCTGGCAGTTCAAACCCACCAGCCACTCCTCAGAAGGAAGGCTGGGCAATCTACTTCCATAGAGACACCCCCTCAGAAACCCAAGGAGGGGTCGTTATGAGTTGGATCTGACTCGACAGCAGTGAGAGTGAGTAGACACACACATATATGTGCTCATACATATTTCTACGTATATGTGTATATATATACACACACACACACACATATACACGCATGAAGGATCTCTGGTGGTACAGTAGTTAAAGTGCTCTGCTGCTAACCAAAAGGCCAGTGGCAATCTACTTCCATAAAGATTACAGCCGTGGAAACCCTATGGGGCAGTTGTACTCTGTCCTCTAGGGTGCTGTGAGTTGGGATCGACCCGATGGCAAACCATAATAACATACACTGTTTAACATACACTGCTAAACAATTATAGAATCTCATGTTCCATACTTTCAGGGTCTTCTGGTCGTTCTCTTTTTGTTAAAGTGCGTTGTAAACCGTAGATGAGGCACAAAAGTCAGCATTAGTATCATTAAGGACTCAGGGTGTGTTCACTGGAATTCCACTCAGCCCACCCCCGTATCCTCTGGTAAAAGCCCTTCTGCAGGGCAGTCTCCAGCCCCCTCTAGCCCACTGCACTGCGCACTGAGCTCCTTTTGCAGTGGCCTGCAGTGAGGGGCTGGGCCCGGGCGGGGACCCCACCTCAAGCTTTCCCTCAAGGCCCTGTCATACTCCCAGAACCCCTGCAGCTCACAGCAGCCCTGCAGGTTGATGCTCTGTGCCCCTTGCTACGGTCTAGGAAGCAGAGGCTCAGGGAAGTCAGGTGTCTGGCCCACAGTCCCACAGCTAGAAAGTGGAAAAGGGGCAGGTGCTCTCCCCACGACACCACAGTGAGAGCACGAGGTCAACTTCTCTGAGCACACACAGGACCCCTGCCCTCCCAGGAATACTGAATGGGGGCCTGGGCAGCTGCCAGCCCGCAGAGCTGAGCCATTCAGCCCAGCCCCTTCCCCGGTGTCCCCTGGCCCTTGGGGAGCTCTCACCTGGATGTTGGGGTTCGGGGCACTCAAGTCCGTGTTGGCCAGGCCTGGCAGCTTCTGCAGCTCCAGCAGCAAAGGGGTGTCTTCCAGTGGCCCAGGAGAGGTGGCCTCGTCTGGGGTTAGGGAGGCTGATTTGGGGAGGGTCTGGCGTCTCTGGTGCTGGTGAGACCCTGCTTGGAAGCGGGCTCGGGGGAGCAACGGGATCTCCTCCTGGTCCTTGGGAGGCTGGGGATCTGGTGAGGCAGAGAGCTGAGGGGGACAGAGCAGAGCAAAGGGGTGACAGAGGTCAGAGTTCACCCCATGTGGACCCTGAAAAGGCAGGTTGCAGGGATTTGGGGGCCTGGGGTCTGACTCAGCTTACAAACTCATACTGTGACTTAAGCCTCTTTGGACCTTGTACAGGTTAAGAGAAATCCCAGTGCTGCCCGCTTTAACACCCTCAGAAGCCAAGAGAGGGTGCAGTCAGACAGTGCTGTGCATCCACAAAGTGCTTCGACAAATGACGCCAACATTAGACGTACACTGTTGTGTTGTTGTGAGGTGCTGTTGGGTCAGCTCCGACTCACAGTGACCCCGTGTACCAGAGTGAAACACGGCCCGGTCTTGCGCCCTCCTCACGAGCACTGCATGCTTGAGCCACCGCTGCAGCCACTGCGTCAGTCTCTCATGGTGAAGGTCCTCTGACCCCCTACTCTACCAACACCGAAACTGAAAGGCATAAGCTCCTTGTCCATCTTCCTTACTCGCTGTTCAGCGTTCACAAGCATACGAGACAACTGAAAACACCATGGCTTGGGTCAGGGGCACCTTAGTCTTCAGCGTGACATCTTTACTCCTTAACACTTTAAAGAAGTCTTTTGTAGCAGATCTGCCCACTGCAATATAACATCTGATTTCCTGACTGCAGCTTCCCTGGATGTTTATTGCGGATCCAAGTAAAATGAAATCCCTGACAACTTCCATCTTTTCTCCATTTATCATGATTTTGTTTATTGGTCCAGTTGTGAGGATTTTTGTTTTAGGTTGAGGTGTAATCCATACTGCAGACTGTAGTCTTTGATCTTCATCATAAGTGCTTCAAGTCTTCTTCATATTCAGCAAGGAAGGTTGTATTGTCTGCATATCGCAGACCGTTAATGAGTCTTCATCTAATCCTGATGCTGCATTCTTCTTCATATAGTCCAGCTTCTCAGATTATTTGCTCAGTATACAGATTGAATAAGTATGGTAAAAAGATACAATCCTGACACATGCCTTTCCTGATTTTAAACCTTGCAGTATCCCCTTGTTCTATCAGAGGGATAACCTCCTGGTCTACATACAGGTGTCTCATGGGAATAATTAAGTGTTCTGGAATTCCCATTCTTTGCAATGTTACTCATGATTTACTATGATCTACACAGTGGAATACCTTTGCATGGTCAATAAAACACAAGTAAACACCTTTCTGGGCCAGGATCCATCTGACATCAGCAAGGACATCCCTTGTTCCACATCCTCTTGTGAATACAGCTTGAATTTCTGAAAGTTTCTTGTCAGTATACTGCAGCAACCATTTTTGAATTATCTTCAGCAAAATATTACTTGTGTGTGATACTGGTGATAAACCAAAAACCAAACCAAACTCACTGCTGTCAAGTTGGCTCCGACTCACCGCGACCCCTCCTTGGGTTTCTGAGGTGATATCACTACAGAAGTAAGATTGCCCAATCTTCCTTCTGAGGAGTGGATATTAATGGTATTATATGATAATTTCCACATTCTGTTGGATCACATTTCTTTGGAATGGGCATAAATAAGGATCTCTTCCTGATGATTAGCCAGGTAGCTGTCTTCTAAATTTCTTGGCGAAAACAAGTAAGTGCCTCCAGCACTGTATCCATTTGTTGAAACATCTCAATGGGTATTCCATCAACTCCTGGAGCCTTAGTTTTTGCCAGTTTCTTCTGTGCAGCTTGGACTTCTTCCTTTAGTACCATAGGTTCTTGATCAAATGCTACCTCCTAAAATGGTTGAACATAGACCAATTCTTTTTGGTACAGTGAGGGTATATTCCTTCCATCTTTTTTTTTTTTTTTTAATTTTTATTGTAATCTGGGTGAAGTTTACAGAGAAAATTCATTTCCATACAGCAGTTCATACACATTTTTTGTTTCATGACATTGACTACAATTCCCTACAGTGTAACAGCTGTTTTCCCACTTCCTCCCTGTAGTTACCTCTTCCCTGTGTCCTTCTTTCCTATGCATTCCTGCTCCCCGAGCTATCTCCCTGTGCAAACACTGACCTTCTGTTCTCTCATGATTGACTGTTCTAAGGAGTGGATCTTCATGATGTAAATGTTCACCCTATATTCCTGTCTATTGCTTGGCAGGAAGCCATAGGAGTGAGTTCAATTCTAGACCTGAAGGGTAACTAGGGGCCATAGTCTCGGGGTCTCACAAGGCTCTGTTGTTGTTATGTGCCGTCGAGTCAGCCCTGACTCATAGCGACCCCTCCTTGGGTTTCCGAGGCAGTATCACTACGGAAGTAGGATTGCCCA